AGGGAGCCTTGCCTGTGTCAGACCTGTTCTGCACTCATGTGGGACTCACGTCTATTTTTTTTTTTTTTTTTTTTTTTAAGGTGGAGTCTTACTCTGTCACCCAGGCTGGAATGCAGTGGTGCAATCTTGGTTCACTGCAACCTCTGCCTCCCAGGTTCAAGTGTTTCTCCTGCCTCAGCCTCCCGAGTAGCTGGGACTACAGATGCATGCCACCCCACCCGGCTAATTTTTGTATTTTAGGTAGACAGGGTTTCGCCATGTTGGCCAGGCCGGTCTCGAACTCCTGAGCGCAGGGGACCTGCCAGCCTTGGCCTCCCAAAATGCTGGGATTATAGGTGTGAGCCACTGTGCCCGGCCATTTTTTTTTTTTTTTTTTTTTTAAAGTAGTGGTGGGATTTCACCATGTTGGCCAGGCTGGTCTCAAACTCCTGACCTCAAGTGATCCGCCCACCTTGGCCTCTCAAAGTGCTAGGATTACAGGTGTGAGCCACAGAGCCTGGCCTGGGACTCATGCTTTCCACAGCTCTTCCAACTCAACCCATCGCCAGGCCCCCTCCTCCCACCTTTGGCCATCCTAGCCACTTCTCATTCCTTACATCACAGAGCTCATCCAGCACCTCTCCCACCCTGATGCCATGCCCTGAACTGAAAATTACTTTAATGTCTAAATGGAAAAATTAGTATCTTCTCATCTTCATGTTATGAATGTCACATTCAAAGCTGAAAAAGAATATGGCCAGGGCATGGTCATTTCCTTGTGAAACTAATGCCAGGCTCGGCACACTCTGATCAGCTGTATCTCCATCTTGAAGTCTATTGCTAAATACAAACCAGATGACATAAGACAACGAGGTCACTTCATAAGAATTGCCAATTATGATAGAACTTATTTAATGAATAAAGGTAGCTACTTAATGAATTACTGAATTTGATCAGGAAAAGCCATTAAATTCCGAACTTACAGTTTGCTTGTACGTGCAGGTCTCAAAATAATGCTTTTTATTACTTTTACAATTTACTCTCGCCGGGCGCGGTGGCTCACGCCTGTAATCCCAGCACTTTGGGAGGCCCAGATGGGCGGATCACAAGGTCAGGAGATCGAGACCATCCTGGCTAACACGGTGAAACCCCGTCTCTACTAAAAATACAAAAAATTAGCTGGGCGTGGTATCGGGCACCTGTAGTCCCAGCTACTGAGGAGGCTGAGGCAGGAGAATGGTGTGAACCCGGGAAGCGGAACTTGCAGTGAGTGGAGATCATGCCACTGCACTCCAGCCTGGGCGACAGAGCAAGACTCCATCTCAAAAAAAAAAAAAGAAAAAAAAAAAAGTTTTTGTTCCTAATTAAATGAGGGTTTTCTAACATTTTCCCTCTAGACTTAGGTGTTCATTAACTCTGGTCTATATTAAATTATTCTTTAAGAGGAAAACAAGTGAAAAAGCTGAGTCTTTCTTTATAGTAAGAGACATCAGGGTTCTTGTGAAGAGTGGCGATGAGATGGCCACTGTCTGACAGAACCGCCTGCAAGTTTGCAGAGTCGTTATCTTCATTTCCTGGGGTTGCACAGTGCCAGCTTCTCAAACAGGTATTATAATACTAACAAAGGCTTCTATCACATGGCTTTTTTTTTTCCTTAAGTATCTTAAAAAACTTTTTATTGGGAAAAGTTAAAATGTATGGAGAGCGAATTCTGTAATGGTCTTCTAGATGTCCATCCCCCACCCTCTACACATCACCAATCTCATCCCATCTTGAGACTTCGTCCCCCAATCTGTTTTGACTGGCTAGTATTTGCTGGTGTTATCTTAAAGTACATCCTAGGTATCACTTCACACCTACATAATTGTGCCTGCATTTCTTTTTTCTTTTGGAGACAGAGTCTCACTCTGTCACCCAGGCTGGAGTGCAGTAGCATGATCTCAGCTTCCTGCAACCTCTACCTCCTGGGTTCAAGCGATTCTCATGCCTCAGCCTCCCAAGTAGCTGGAATTACAGGTGCGTGCCACCACGTCTGGCAAGTTTTTGTATTTTTAGTAGAGACAGGGTTTCACCATGTTGGCCAGGCTGGTCTTGAACCCCTGACCTCAGGAGATCCACCACGCCCGGCCTCCACCTCCATTTCTAAAACCAAAGACATTTTCTTTAATAACTACAATACCACTATTGTGGTGATGATCACCGAATAAGATTAACAATTCAACATCACTTAACACCCAGTCCATGTTCAAATTTCCCTGTATGCACCAGAAATGCCTTATGGTGGCTGGTTTGTCTGAAGGGTGGAAGCAGGGTCCATGCTCAAAGCTGGCTGTTGAGCAGGTGCTGGGCTTGCTTGAAGGCCTGTGTGAAACAAGGCCTGATGCTGGCACCCATCAGATGGTTCCTAACAGCATAGACGTCCAGGATTGTGTCTATCAAGCACGGGCACTGTGTGTTTGCAGGTCTGTTCTCCAGACTCTGCATTCAAGGAGTGAAGGGAATGTGTACTAACCACCACTGCATCCCCAGTGGTAACGCACACCCAGCACAGGCGAAGGAGCTCTCTGAAGCCATGCTGCAGTCCAAGTCTCGATTCTGAAGCGGGTCAGATTTTGAATCCTGGCCTACCAGTTAACCAGTTGGTTTGTTAGCCAGGTAGTTATCCTCTAGTACAAACTACTTATCCTGTCTGGGCCTCCATTTCTTCAGCTGTGAAATGGGGTGATAGTATGGGCTCACAGATTATTGTGCAGATGAAAATGAAGCAGACTAAGGCCTGGCACCCTGGAACTCAGGATCTGTTAGCTCTATAGAGACACAACTCCCTTGAGGGTGGCAGGAAGCACACCCTCCAAAGCCTCTGGTTGGGGTGCGTGTACCCCTGGGATACAGTGACAATCAACAAGAAACACCGTGCCTTCTCCCAGAGGCTCATTTGAGGCTAACTTAGAGCACATTGTTTAAAAAGACACCTACAGCTGCCTGGGAGCCACTCTCTCTCCTCCCAGCCTTTGGGGTTACTTTGTAGTGCACTTGGAAAAGCACTGCATTAAGTCAGAGCAGCATGAATGCGTAGGCTCTGGGACAAAAAGCCTCTGGGATTCCTTCCTGAACTGGCCCTGTCCACTCCCGTGGCTCTCTGTGCATACCTCTTACCCATTGGTACTGCCCTCCAAATGCTCCTTTAAACAGATCCTCCTGGCCGGGTGCTCCTCGCCCAGGGGGAAGCCCAGGTGACATCCTCTGGCTCCACCTACAGGCTGCCTTTGGGACAAGACCTGGTTGTTTCCAAAACTGTGAGGGATTCAGTGTGTGAGTTCTGGGAGAGCAAATACAATTCTTTCTTTTCTTTTTGAGACAGGGTCTCACTCTGTTGCCCATGCTGGAATGCGGTGGTGTGATCTCGGCTCACTGCAGTCTTGACCTCCTAAGTTCAAACAATCCTCAAGCATCAGCCTCCCCAGTAGCTGGGATTATAGGTGCACACCACTACGCCTGGCTAATTTTTGTATTTTTTGTAGAGATGGGGTTTTGCCATGTTGCCCACGCTGATCTCAAACTCCTGGGTTCAAGCGATCTGCCCGCCTCAGCCTCCCAAAGTGCAGGCGTGAGCCACTGCGCCCAACCTTCCCTGGTAATTTGCTGAAGGAAGCCTTAAGTAGTAAAGGGAGAAGAGGAATGGCCCAGCCCTTGTGGGGAAGCCCTCCTGGGTCAGACACACCAACCTCTGCTTCCAGCGGGGTGGGGGTGGGCAGCTCCCACCCGTCCTCACCTCCCTTTGGATGCGAGTTCAGGTTCTGGGGGTTCAAGTCCCAGCCCCAGTGCTTGCTAATTGTGACTTCTGTAGCGTGTTACTGCCTCCCAGCCTGTTTCCTGTTCTGATAGTCAGGGCCTGTACTGACGCCTCGCTAGGTTCTAAGGTGGACTAAATGTACTAAGATGCATGACACAGGGCTGAAGCCTGGTGCCAATGCAGTGGAATGTGAAGGCTGTGGTAGGGCAGGCCTGTGTTCTTTGTATCATTAGAAATTTTCCAACTGGGGTCCTGGCATCTGCACATCCTGGATGCTTGTTAGACATACAAGTCCTTGGGCTCCTTCCTACAGTAGTGCAATCAGAAACACTGGGGCCCAGATCGCTGTGTTACGGCCTTCCAGGTGATTCTAACGCATTCTCAAGCCTGAGCAGCTGGGCAGATGGATAATTTTAAAGGTAGGGCCTTTCTGTACCACAGCAGATTCATCTTCTGGAGGCAGAAGAGAACAAAATGTGTTCACAGGAAAAATGCGATTCCTGTGTCAGAACCAAACCCTCTGAATCTCACACGACCTGACGCAAACTTCCACTGATGCTGTGTAATGCTTTCCTGCAACCTTCTCACACAGCCCAACAACCCTGAGGCTGCTGGAGGAAGACACGACAGGTTTTAACCAAAAGAAACTGAGGCTCAGAGATCTCAGTCATCTGTTGGACATCTACCACGGGCCAGAGCTAATGAGGCTAAATGCCAGAGACACATGAAAAACAGGATGGTCTCAAGAGGACAGGACACCCAGGGTGCAGCCACCACCCCCATTCCACAGCTGCTCTCCTACCCACCTGTAGAGTGCCAGATTTCAAACTGGACTCACTTTTACCCCAAACTGGACTCACTTTTACCCTATGCTTGCTGCTTTAGAATCTTTTTAGCACACAATTTAGGGATCTTGGTAATTGTCTCAGATGGAGATAACTATTATGCAGTAGGCATTTGATACTAGCCTAACTAGAATCAATTGGCTTTATTTTTTTTTTTCAATTGGCTTATTATGTACTTTGCCTTGTGATTATTTCCTGATTCAATTTTCTCCTACAGCTTATAATTTCAACTACTATGTCACTGAATGCTACCTTATTTCTAAAGGATTTCATAGTTTAAATCTTTCTCTTATTTATCCTCATAATAACTGTAAGTTAGAACTTACATAATTAACATCTCCATTTTCCAAATAAGAAAACAGAGGCTCAGAGAGGTCACAATGTAAGTATCAGGATCAAGTTTAATAAACATTTATTAAGCAGTAGAATCCAAGTGAGTGCCTGGATCCTGATCACCAACTCCTGTGACAACTGAGATAATTATTTCACAATGATGGGTGGCTCAGTGAGATTCTGACTGCATCTGCTGCATGACAAATGATCTATTCAGAGTACGTCCGACACACTGGAGGAGGCCGAGGGGGTAACACATTGAAAGCAGGACCAGGTAGCAGTGCATCTCAGAGATCCATTTATTCATGCCATGAAGTAAATGGTACTTATACAAGTGTACAGGGACGTTCCACGCTCCCCATCTAATACGGCTTGCTTAAATTTACAGGCGGACTGATGTTTTCTTTCACAGGTACTCCAAGTAAATCTGGTTAGTGATGACCAGGAGCAGGCGCCGAAGCTTTTGAAAGAGATGCATGTATAAATACAATTTAAGAAGGAACAAGTTGGATGTAATTTATTAAACAAGTATCAAAAAAAGTTGATCAACAGTCCAAAAATATAAATGACACCTTTCAATACTATTGAAAAGTAGGATTATTTCTATATGAAACACCCAGAGTGCTTAAGGGCCCACATAATGACAACAGACAGCAGTGGCCACCCACAGCTCAAAGAAGAGAGGGGCAGGGAAACACCTCTTCCTCAAACTCATGTAGCCAGTCCTGGGTTTGTGTAACATTCAAATGGCTACAGTTTCATTGTCACTTGGGCCTAAATTTATCAGGCGCTTTCTTTCAAAATACATTAAAGGCCAGGTGCGGTGGCTCACGCCTGTAATCCCAGCACTTTGGGAGGCCAAGGCGGGTGGATCACCTGAGGTCAGGAGTTCGAAACCAGCCTGGCCAACACGGTGAAACTCCATCTCTACTAAAAATACAAGAAATTAGCCTGGTGTTGTGGCTGTAATCCCACCTGTAATCCCAACTACTTGGGAGGCTGAGGCAGGAGAATTGAATCTGGAAGGAGGATGTAGTGAGCCAAGATTGTGCCACTGTACTCCAGCCTGGGCAACAGAGCGAGACTCTGTCTCAAAAAACAAAAACAAAAAACAAAACAAAACCATTAAAAACACATCATTAGGGGGAGGCTGAGGCGGGTGGATCACAAGGTCAGGAGATCGAGACCATTCTGGCTACATGAAACCCCGACTCTACACAAAAAATTAGCCAGGAGTGGCGGCGGATGCCTGTAGTCTCAGCTACTCAGGAGGCTGAGGCAGGAGAATGGTGAGAACCCGGGAGGCGGAGCTTGCAGTGAGCCAAGATCGCGCCACTGCACTCCAGCCTGGGCAACAAAGCGAGACTCCCGTCTCAAAAAACAAAACAAAACAAAACAAAACAAAAAACAACAAAAACAAACCAAAACCATTCAAACCACATCATTAGGGAACTTCTAGGACAGCATGCTCACACAGCTCACTTGCGCTTCCCTATTGGTGATGCTATCAACTACCTCTAATTCATCCATTCCTCTATTACTCCTGGGAAGTTTTACTGATCCACTTGACTATAAAAAGCAGAAATTCAGAATTCTGTTTTCCAGCAGGCACAGCAAACTTCAAGCTGTGAAGCATTTCAACTGCATCTTACATATGTACTGAACCATGTATCAATTTCAATTCAGAACAATGATATGCCTTGTCCCAAAAAGACATGATGGTGTTTTCCATTCCGAACCATTTTCAGAAGCAAAAATCTTACCTTTCAAAGCCTTACTTCTTTTATCTAAAATAAAAGGAAAAAAAAAATCAGTCATATCAATGCTTTATAAAAATGCCTTTGTCAAAATTAACATTTAGCTGAAGGCGTTGTAGCTTAGGTAAAGCAATTCAGGAAGCGTTCAAAAAATATGTCTTATAGCCACGAAATGGTAAAATTCCTATCAAATATGTTCTATGAACAGCTAACAGCCCTTTCAAATTTGCAGGGCTCCTCACCCTCTACAACGTCCTAAACTCTAGTCTCGCAGCATAAAGTTTTCTCCTTCCTCTTTGTAATCAACGGCTTAGTAACATGTGACTGGGCCACACTGCTCTGCTCTACTGAGAACCAAGTGGTTATTCTTCTCCTCTAAATTTCATTACAAACAAATTTCAAATATTCAGAACAGCTGAAAAGGTGCAATGAAATACCACATACCATGAAACCATACTTTAAATATTTTAGACTTCATCTCTTAAAACCAATGTCATACCACTCTCACACCTAAGAAAACTCACAATTCTGATATTAAAGTCTTGTTCAAAGTTCCCCAATTGGGCCAGGTGTTGTGGCTCATGCTTGTAATTCCAGCACTCTGTGAAGCCACGACTGGAGGACTGTTTGAGCCCAGCAGTTTGAGACCAGCCTGGGCAACATGGCAAAACCCC